GCTCTCACTGGTCGACTCAATTGCCAACACCAAGCTCTTCCTGGTCTAGAAGGGTCCGATAAATGAAACCAAGGAGACTTCCTTCCGTTCACTGGCGGCAAGCCTTCATAAACATATCTTGGGGGTAAGAAGGCTTTTTCGGATTTCAGGCTGCTTGACTTGATTGTCTGTGATCCAATTGGGTTTGACGAGATTTGGGAATCCGAAGGGTTCAACTGCGGCGTCACTTGCGTCACGTTTATTGGAACCGATTCTTCTTGCATGTTCGGAAGTCCCAAGTTCGGAAGTCCCAAAATCGGCTCTGCTGCCTGCGGACTAGGAGGCGGGCAATGGCATTGGGACATAACGGCACAATGGCACATTCGATCGAAGGGCAACGTATAACGATAGTGGGATGTCGTTTTCTTGCGAGAGACGAACATGCGAGCGTGAAGTCCCATGCCTGACGTTGGAATTGAACTGATGGCTCGAAGAACAACCGATGGGACTCCGCACGCAGCAAGCTTCTTCTGATTTCTGACGTGCTGGCGGGTCACAATTTTACGGATATATCCTTGACCTAGAAATTTTTGCTCTTCAGGAAGAGGAAGGGCTGGAAAATGTGTGTCACGGTAGTGATGGTGATTTATTTGAACTTTGAGTTTTTGGTGTTGGAGACCAAAGTTCTGTTGTCCAAGGTTCTGTTGCTGGAGTCCAAAGTTCTGTTGCTGATTTTGCAGTTGTGCTGGTTGAAGGACTTCGTAAGGTTGTTGCTGAGGTATTCCATGGTGCTGTGTCTGTTGTACTGCTGTGTATGGAATTTCAACAGATACCTTGTTCCGTATACCAAGTTGTCCACTTGGTCCATAAAAAATCTGATGTTGAATATTCCCCACACGTTGGTGGAGAACTTGAGCCGTTACGACATTAAAAAGTCGAAAAACAAAATAACTCGTTAAAATTTTTAAAAAGCGACAAAGAATTGACACCATTACGAGTGCAGGCGGACCTGTTTGTTCCACAGACCAGGAGTACAAGCCGTCAGAGTTTCGCGTCAATCAAACAAATCGTCTGAATAAAGGTTCTTCGATTCCGTTTCATCGCGTGTCATTGCGCTTATCTCTACGAACTCACTATTTGGTGTCACTCGCTCTACTGATACTGTAAATCGAACAGCGCACTGTGATGCCACAACCACAAAAAAGCAAGGGTTCTCAATTTGCACCACCAAATAACAGAAAGGAAAAATCTTTCATTCCTGGTTGTCCCGAACTGGCGCAGTTCTCGTCGTAGGCGGGTCCACTTACGAAAGCATCAACAAGTCGTCTTTCCTTAATCAATTGTTTCCGACGTGTTTTATAATGCAGATAGATGACCTCGCCAAGTTAGAGGCGTGTTGCGAGGCATTTTATAGGTAGGCCGACTCCCACACTCCCTCACTCTCCATTATCGTTTTTTCAGTGGCAATTTCGAAGCACAACAAGCAGCTCATGACGTTCTGTTGCCCCTCGTTAGCGATCCAAATTGTCTTCCGCAACTTCAAGTGATTCTCGCCCAATCGCATAATCCACACGCTTTGATTTTCGCGTCATCTGGATTGAACAAACTCATTTCAAGTGGATGGAATCGAATCTCTGATACACAGAAGGACGACACGCGCAAGTTTGTGTTAAATTATCTGGTACGCGCAACAACCACACGAGTCGGACCGAAATTGCTTTCTTGTCTCTCTTTAGTACAATCATGGGCCGCAGCTATTGCGTAGTTCGCCTCCTTTGTTGCAAAATTTGGTTCGTCTGCTGTGCAGAATAGTGAAGTTGGGCTGGCTAGAAAGCTTACAGAATCAGGTATGCATTCCATTCGATGGCTTCGACATCTGTTGAATTTTCAGAACATTACTGAACAAGTGCGACAGTTTCTCCAATCTTCAACTCCACATTGGGTTGTTGGTTTAACGATTTACACATCATTGACTGAAGATATGCAACCGACCGCAGGAGGTCAATTGGCGCGATTCAGACGAACTGCGATGAGTTTCAGAGAAACTGCTTTATCGGAAATATTCGAAACTGCAACACAAACATTACAGCAATTAAATGCTGGAACAATGCATTTCGGTGATGGTGCAGATGAGCGATTATTATTGCGACAAGTTCTTCAATTAACGTTAAATTGTTTGAATTTCGATTTCATGGGGACTGTTGCTGATGAGGGAGGGGACGATCAGACAACAGTTATGATTCCGCATTCATGGTCGATTTTAAGAGAAGAAAGAATCCCTCAACTGTTTTTTGACATTTACGCGAAGGGTTGGAGGTGAGCGTGTTTGAAATCGTTGTGCTTAAATTCCCGTCTTATTTTTGTTATTTCTTACGTTTTAGTGTCCCTGGCCAGCCACGAGTCGATTGTTCCTGTTTATGCCTTCAATGTTTGGTTTTAATTGCGGCAATTCGAAGATCCTTCTTCCAAAAAGAAGAAGATCGAGTGATTCATGTGTCTCAGTTGATTGATGGGACATCAGCAATTATTCAGTCTGGATTGGGGCTTCAAAATGATGAATGCTATCATGAACTCTGCAGGTAATTTAATCAATCAATTTAGTCGATCGTTTATCAATTTTTGGGACGCTTGCTTCCTCTATTGGTATCCACAAACCCCCATCCATGTCTTTTACATTTCGCATCTCAGATTGCTAGGAAAAATTAACGCAGCAAATCAGTTATGGGAAATGAGTCAAACCGCTGGGTTCAAAACTTGGCTGCAGAACGTCTTCCAGTTCACGATAAGAAGTCTCGAAAACTGGAAGCATCTCCCCAACAGCAAGCACTATTTAGCCGGTAGGTCATTTTAATCTCTTCTATTCGAATGTATTTGTTTTGAAGCGTTGTGGAGCAACATGGTCGGCCCTCTCCATTACTTAAAGGAGAAATCGCCGCCAGAAGTGATTCATTGTGTTAAAAAGATCACGATTGCGTTCATTGATAGTCGGATGAAGGTTGCTGAAGCTGTTTCAGCGATGGATGGAAATGATCTTGATTACGAAGATCCTCTAACGAACGAAGTCATGAGAGGCGAACAGCTGAGTGTGATTCATAATCTAAGTCGATGCAGTTATGTGGAGACATGCACACATGTGATGGTGTTATTTCGAGAATCACAAACAACCTTCAGGGAGGGAAGGATGTCTGCGGTACGACGTAGTGATGCGGTGGATGATCCATTGTTGTCCCTCTTTTGTTTCCGTCAGCAAGAATTCCAACAAAAAATGACGTGGCTTGTTTACATTATGGGGAGCCTTATCAATGTCACATGGCTTTCAGGAACGGCAAAAGTGTTTTTATTGAGTGAATGTGGACTATCGGCAAGAAGTATGGAGGAGGATTCGGGAGAAAACGTTAGCGGTCATCGATTAATCGGAGAAATGTCTCTCCTTGTATTTGGACTGATTTCTGAAACTGATAAGCTTGTAAGGCAATCGGATATCTGTCGTGTTCTGTCTGGAATGCAAATTGCATTTGCTCGGTTTATTGCTTCTCACAGTTGTCTCTTTTATTTTGTCGTTTTTGGTAGAACACAGCCCCCGAGGGATTGGAACTCGCATACCTGGCATTCTTGGAACAATTTAGGGAAGTGTATATCGGCGAGAGAACAAAACAAACAATGCAGATTCAAGTCACTGAGAGTTTGTTTTCCAGTAAGTTCATTCTTTAATGAGTTAATTGTAGCGCAAGTCTATCTTCGGATTACCTTCTTAAATTCATCATTGTCTCCCTAAATTTTTCTTTGGATTATCTTCTTGAATTCATTATTGGATTGTTAAATTCGTCATTGTCTTCTTAAATTCATCATTGGATTATCTTCTTAAATTCATCATTGGATTATCTTCTTAAATTCATCACTGTCTTTCAGTTCTAGGAAGCTCATCTACAACTGATGTTCTGAATTTAATGGTTGAAAAATTATGTCGAAATCTCGAACGACGCATTCAAAATGAAGCGGTTGTTAAGCGCACCCTTCAGATTCTCAATCAGAGTGCAACAGGCGCCTCAGTTGTCCACGCTCCTGAGCGGGTGCCATACTTCGTTATTTCTGGAAAGCTCTTGCTCCAAAGTCAACTCGTTCAAGATATTATTATGGATCATCAAAATCCACGCTTGGCTTTCTTATCTGTTCCTCAGTATGTCTACATACGTCAATCTTGTTTATTCTTAATTGTTCTTGTCTACTAGATATGGAAAGTTCCGAACATCGTATTATTCAACGCTGACGAGACTTCTCCTGATGGATTCAAAAGACGATCTTGAGAAATTTGAGGCTTATATGAAACCGTTCCGAGACTCCTTTGAGCAATTGGACACAGCGGTTCATCAGGGAGCATTAGAGACCCCATACAACAGGCAATTGATTATACATCTGGCGAGAGATTTGCGGGGAGTTGTTTTCGCAGCAGGATCAACGGAAGCCTATAATCTAGTATTCGATTGGCTTGTCAACAAACCCAAGCAACCAGGAGCATCACGTGTGGGTCAAGCTTCATCTTTAAAAATTTATTATTTCTCAATTCTTATTATTTCTCAATTCTTTATTATTTCTCAATTCTTTATTATTTCTTTTCTTAGATTGACATTTTCACAAGAGCTGTGGATCTGTGGTGGGCGGACCACTTGGTGATGGTCCCAACGCTTAAGTTTATGGTCGAGATGGTTCACAACAAATCCGGTAGAATATGTTTTGATGCAAACAGTCCCAATGGAATCTTCTTATTCAAAGTATCGTCCACCCTTCTTTTAGCTTATGGACAAAAGTAAGCGACGAACGACTACTCAAGTGACAGAAATGCAAACTCGCAACGTTTTGAAATACAAAATTGATTTTTGTTTGATTTATTTTACAGGATCTTAAGCCGACTTCAATTCCAAGATCTCTATCGTCAGAAATATAAAGGAATCGCTTGCGCCCTCCAAATGTTCAGCCATGCTTTATCTGGCGGTTATACAAACTTTGGGATCTTCGAGGTCTATAACGATAATGTTTTAGCGAGTTCATTGGCATTAGCATTTCAGTTGTGCCTCGTCATTCCCAATGATGGTATGTTTATTGCAACAACGAGGCATCTTGTCGATTGCTGCCTTCAGACCTCCAAGCCTACATCAAAGGACTCAAACCATTCTATCATTTTCTGGAACTTGCAACTCAAACATTTATGGATCACGTAAGCATCGTCATTGAACTATTCAATATGTCAATTCGTACTTGAAGGTTATTCGATTACCGGCGGAGAGTCTCACGCAACTTCTACGATGTCTTGAGGATGGCCTCTGCAGTTTCGATAATGGTGTATGCATGCAGTGCTGCTCAACGCTTGATTCCTTCGTCTTTTACGTTTTCACAAAGAAGAATGCCAACGATGAAACCGGAGAGGTGCGTGCGATCAATGGTTCTTCTAACTTTTATTTGTTGCCATGATCACGTCCGTTGTATCGTCTTGATTTCATCTTGACAGGCGGTGCGACGGTTTTTACTCGATGAACCACAAGCCTTGCGGCGTGTTTTGCAATTAATGTTTCAGTTGGTGGTAACTGGGGAAATCACTGGAACTTGGGGGATGTCCCGTCCCTTATTGGGATTAATACTTCTCTATGAATCGGATTTTGTCCAAATCCAGGAGCAGATTGTATTGCAACAAATTCCAGAACGTCGGATGAAGTTGAAGGGATATTTTGATGATTTAATGGCAGGAGTTGAGGCGAATCTCACTGCAAAAAATAGGGTAAGTTGGTATTTGAAAGTGATAGCTTTTTCTATATTTCTTCCATTCAGGATATCTTTATCAAGAATCTCTTTACCTTTGCGCAAGCCATGAAGACCTCTTTCGCCTAACATTCTTGTGCTTAACATTCTTGTGCTGCTTTCGCTTAACATCCTCGATGTTTTTTCATCCAATTTTCTTCCGTCCAAATTCAACGTAGCTGTTTGTGTGTGTTTTGGGACTTTCTCTTCTATGAATCATTGTTGTCGGAGATTCAACAACTGCAAGCTCAATATTCAGAAACACCAGCACGCTCGCAACTCGATTTTTGCCCCTTGAGTTCGCAGCATCTCGCCCACTTGATGTTCACTACGAAAGGTGTTCTCTGACTACAGTGCAACAAAACGTTTCGGTCTGCTGCACTGCTCTTCGTCGCAGCGTCTTTCACAGAACGGATTTCGTGAACAACTGCAATCCTCAGAAAGTGGGGATGCCGAGGGATCGGAGCAGGAGGTTGACGTATCGGCCAATTGCGAATCTCCCTGGACTCTACGGAGTTTCTCAACCATGCCGCCGTTCAAATTATGGGATTGTCTGGATCTTCGAGCGCAGTTTTTCCTGATCTCTCTTGGTGTAGGAAATGCACTTCAGGTTGCTGTGGTGCCACATTTTGTTTTGCGGACCCAGAGTTCATTTTGGCGCGGCTTTAAAAGACAGGTTAGGTGACATTGGGACAGATCATCGGGAACTGTTAGCAAACTGAGTTGTGAACATTATCGAAGTACAAAGGTTCCAAACGGCTTTTTGACGTTCCAAAAGAACGTTAGGACATCAGGAGAAAACTACTCACAGATTCCATCCAAATGACAGGGTCAGAGCCTGCCACCATTGAGGATTCTTCAATTCACAGAAGATACCAGTTTTGTTTAGCAACTAACCACCCCAGTCGCGTTATCCCCGATCGCTTTCTATTTGATTTGGATGAAGCCAATGCTTTGCATCAAGACGTTATTCGCGTGTTGGATCCAGTTCATGTTCAAGAAATTGTTGGAGATAACGCATTGGCAATGACCCCAGATCTTTTTTCAAGAGTGCTGAAGAGCCCCTTGTGCTACCCAATTCCGACTACCATGAATTTAGAAAGGCATGACTTCACTCGTACAGGATTCCGTGGTGGTATTCTGTTTGACTTATGCATGAAGCTCGTTCATTTTTCGATGCCACTCAGCGGTTATTTCGCGTCGGATACGCCACAATTCAATGATTGTTTGCAGCGCCCTATTAATCTTTTTCTCAAGAATGTTTTGGGAATTCGTATCGATCAACGGCGAGACGCAGCAGAACTCCAACTTGGTCCCAATGTCCGCAGACCAGATGTGTGTATGTTGATCGGACAAATCCCGGTCTTCCGCGCAGAAGAGAAAAATGGAATCCCCTCCTCCAATGAGTGCTTATTAAGATATCAATTACAAGGAGTCGAACTTGCGCACCAACAGTTCCCCATTCTCGTTTGCACACGTGCCGATACCTTGATTCGTTTTTATTGGTATAACGTCAACGAGCCAGTGGAAGAGCTTACTAATTTGCCAAGATTTGATTTAAGTGATCCCGATGATCGTGTTGCATTGCTCCCAGTTTTGGTCAACTTTTGCATTTATATAAATAGCTGCCTGATTCCTCAGATGATACTGGAATATCAAGAAATTCGTATGGGTTTGCTGGATTCTCCAAGAGGGTGCGAGTTCACCATCCAAGGAGATCGTGTTTGGAAGGAGTGCAGACAATCGACTCAAACAGAAGCAGACATCTACGATGCTCTTCATGATGATGAAAGCGGGCAACATTTGAGGGTCTACTCGGTGGCTCGATCAGGACACCTCATTGTGGAAATGGATCTTTTAGAATTGCCAGGCATTCCAATGAATCCAGATGTATTTATTTCTTGGGCCCGCTCTTGTTTGACGACTTTAGATTTTCTTCATCGTAGAGGATGGGTACACCGGGACGTTCGAATTGAGAATGTTCGTTGTACGTCGAGGAATGGAAGAAGGGAGTTCTTCCTGATAGATTTTGACTGTGCTTGTGAAGCTGGTGCCCCAATAGAGTCTCCGTTAGCAACTTGGCGGCTTACTAATTTTGAAATTCGTCACGATATTGAATTGCTCAGACTGATGATCTTGTCCCAACTCCCAGTTTTATCATTCAGAATAACAATTCCGTTCCGTTGCTCCAGTGTGCTACTTCGCAGCAAATTAATGCGCTTCTAGATCAATGTGTACAAATAATAATAGCAACGCGTCGATAGTTGTTTTAACATTTCCGAGAACGAAACTCAATTTTCAAAGTGAACGCAGGCGTGTTACTGAGTGGTAACAAAAGTTGTGGCGATGCGAGCCAATGACCTGTCGACGGGCGATTCTCGTCTTTTCGCCAGCTGAGCTGTTCGAAGCAAAGGAGGCATCTGATGGAAGAAAGTTAATCAACTGTTTGTCCCTCTCACCTTGACGAGATTCATCAGCTGGATTCGTGGCATTTGCGTGGACAACAAAGCTCCTAGTTGAAGTCAGACAATCCCATAATTTGAAGGATTGAGAACCTTTGTAGACTCCAGGGAGATTCGCAATTGCCAGATATGTCAAAAGCGTTCTTTCTGCTTCGATCTCTGGGCATCCCCACTTTCTGAAGATTGCAGTTCGCAGACTTCTTTGATAATGGAAGAGCGGGAATATTCGTCAAGCCCATCACTTTCCTTCTTGTACTCGTATGAAGGTCGATCAACTCCATCCAGTTCCCGCAGGCTTAGCAACAGTCTCATGCAGGGACATTTTTAACGTTCTCACTCTTATTGAAAAGAAGAGGTGCTCCGGAAGACAAACAAAATACACGCTCCAATCAATCAAACCTCTTCGGGCTCAACTTCAACTCCTGATCCAGTTCAGCAATCGCTCCGTCCCCACCTGCTTCTTCCGTTTCCCTAAAATTCATCCGACAGCGCCGCCTTACTGAAAAGGTACTGAAGAATCAATAGGCTGCGGAAGCTAAGGTTTAGGAGACATGAAGTTGGGACATCAGGAAAATGTTGGAATAGCAGCAGTATGTATTTTTACCTTTGTCCCACACCTGTACCACAAACCGAACTTCATCACCACCTCGTTACCTTACGCTCCTGGTCAATACAATAACAACAGGTTATGAGCCCCCTGTAACCTCGATAATCAATATCAATAATCAATATCAATAGTCAATATCAAATCAACGTTCACAGTTTCTCTTTCTCTCATTGCTACGTTCAATCAATTCAATTTCAGTCGTCAATATCAACAATCTCATTGCTACGTTCAATCAATTCAATTTCAGTCGTCAATATCAACAATCTCATTGCTACGTTCAATCAATTCAATTTCAGTCGTCAATATCAACAATCCTATTCACCTCACTTCACAAGATGCCTTTACCCGTACTCATGCACAATAACTACCACACATGGGTTGTCGAAGCGAGAGCAACTCTATTACAAAACAAGGTTTGGTACACGATACAAAGACCTGAATCAATAACTGAGAAAGTACATCGTTACCAAGAGGTCATCGATCAAAAGAACGCGGAAATCCAGTTACTACAAGAACGGCAAGACCTTCGAGAATCAGAGAAAATTACAATGCTGTCTAGTACGTCTCAACTTCTCATGAATGCTGAATCAAAACTTGATTCAATGGTGCAAGCATTCGAGATGGACTGTGACATGGCCAAAGGACTTTTATACAACATGCTCGGACCAGAGTACAAAAGTATTCCTAATGAAACGGAAAACCCTCAAAAAATTTGGAACTCACTGCAAGCACTCTTCGGAGCAAAAAGGACAGACCTTCCACCACTATTAGAAACGTTTTATGCAAGTGTGTTTCCAGCGGACGGAAGTATGAGGACCCATATAACAAATATTCAAGAGAGAGCCGGACACCTTCGTGGTCTAGGAACGGAAGTTAGACCAGAAATGTTATTTGCAGCACTTCTAAAGGATCTTCCCGAAGAATACACAATGCTCAAACGAATAATCCAAACTTCACGGGATATGACTTACGAAGAAGCAGTCTTTGCACTTTTACAACAAGAGGATGAAACGTTGTACAAGAACCGAAAATAACAAAGTCCAATCTCTCAAGCGTTCTTCGCCGGTAACAAAGGACCTTCGAGTACCGTGCCAATGATGTTTATCTGCTGGAAGTGCAATGGAAGAAGCCATTTACCTTCCACTTGTCAAACACCAGACAATAACAACAACCCCAACACGAATACCAACAACAACAAGTTCAAACCGTTCAAGGGGAAACCATACAACAACAACAATAACAATAACAATAAAAACAAGCAAACAAACAATAGGAACAGAAACAGGAACCGACCATCCAATTATCAGGCATCCGTAGTTCCCAACCGTCCAGCAGTTCTCAACCTTCCAACAGTCAATTTGAACCGCGAGCGCCACTATCAATGATGGTCTACCACATAGAACCACAATTGGAACCACAACGCTCCAAGGTTCACACGTCAGTCCTCCAAGTGACTAACCGAAGACAACCCCTGTCTGAAATCAACAAGCCAGACATTCTGCCCCATGAAAGCGTAAGAAATAAGAACCTCTCAGTTGTATGGGTCCTGGATTCAGGAGCTCAAGCACACATGACGGGAAACCCAAACATTTTTCTGTCGATGAATTCAAGGAACCCTTCTAGAAAAGGCCAGAGCCTTACTAATCGAAGCAAAGTTACCAGAAGGCCTGTGGGGATACGCTTTACAAGCTGCGAATTATATCCAAGATCTTACCCCAACGAAAAAATTAGCAATCTACCCTCCTGCACAAACCCATATCAAGATTTTTGGATCGCTAGCGTACGTATCAATACATAAAGATCAAAGGCCAGACAAATTAGCCCCGGTTTCCAAGGAATGAATCCTCGTTGGTTTTGGTGTAACA